ACATATATATATAAATATATTCGTGTTGAATATTATCTAACGTAAAATAATAATAAAATGACGTATTAAATTAAAAAAAAATAAAGTATACGAGACGAACGAGACCAAACGTTCTTATTAGGTAGAATTTATTACACGAATCATATCATTTAATTTATTGAAAGCACGTGAACCATTATCACCAAGAAACTCATATCAACGTTTATATATGTCTAGTACGTACTGTTATATATAAACGTGATCAATTATATGAATCCTACGAAAGAGATATTATTGTAAATATTATTAAGTAACGTATAGTTAATCGTTCCTTTGAGAAAAAAAAACAAAATAACAACAACAACAAAATGACGTTCGCGATATAACGTTTGTTTATAAATATATATATAATATATATAATATATAATATATATTTAATAGCTATGAAGAAAAGGAAGAGAAAGAGAAAGATAAAATATTTCGTGTGCAATATGTTCATACTTTAAAAATAGTTATTCAATAGAAAACGGGATGATAAGCTTATGTAAATAATATTCAAGATAGTGAATATTCTATATATATATATACATATACATATATATATATATATATGTATATGTATATACAGATAGTTTCGAATATTCTCTTCCTATGCCCGGGAGATACATACTACCTTCATAATCGAAAAAACACGTTTATCGTAGCGAAAATAAAAAAGAAAGAGGATATGAGTGTGAGAGAGAAAGAGAGAGAGAGAAAGAGAGTGAAAGAGAAAGAAAATTTCCAACATTTTTAACAATAACATTGTCGTATATCTCGCGCACGGAATATCATTTTCTTTCTACCTTTTGTATTATAAAACGATATCTTCTGCACAAATTCGATATATACAATATACATATATATATATATGTATATATATATGTATGTTTTTAATCAACAATAATGTAATTTAAGCGAAGTCGAGTGTTATGTAAATACATTAGCGTGTGTGTAGTTTAATCGATAATATACGGGAAAAATAAAAATACATATAAAGTAAAAAATATAGATCAGAAAAAAAATACATTGAAATTTTGTTGTTCTATTAAATCATGTTACACCTACCTTTCAATTGAAAAATTCATATCTCTTCTCATATCGTTGTCATCCTTCTTAAAACCTTAATTACCTGAAATCAAAATACTTAATATTTCAACAAAAAAAAAAAAAAATAAATTAGATTGACGTAAAGAGGATAATTCTGAAATTCAGGCTGATTCTACTTTAGTGTAAATATAATTCAATGTTTTATGCAATCCGAGGCCTAGTTTTCTAACACATACGAATATTAAAATTAATATCATTTAACGATTATGAAAAAAAAAAAATTTGATACTACTTTTCATTTTTTTCTTTTCATTTAAATTATTTTTACACGTAGAATCAACCCAATGTTACGGTTGGTATCTCTTTTTAGGATACACCCCCTTCGTATAGATCAGTATTTTTTTTCTTTTTTTTTTGTTGATCGGTAAAAATAATGTATATATATGTGAATTATATTATAATTATTATTTATACAATTGAATTTTTAATTCCCTTTAATATATCATTCGTAATATTTTACTCGATTCACACAAGTATCAATTACATACGTGTAATATTATATTATATGTTTAGCTTTAGATTTGGTTACATTTAATCGATTAAGTGTTCTCTTTCTTATTATTATTATTTATTATTTTTTTTTTGTCCATGGGTGGGTGGGAGTTGGTGAAGAGGGAGGAGGGATCGTTTATATATTATCGTATGTATTTTTTCTTCTTCTTCTTCTTCTTATTTTTTTTTCTTGAATTTTTTTTCAAACATTATTTTCTTACTCTTTTACTTTTAATACTCATATATATACTTTTGTTAACTAATTTAGAATTATGCACAGGCCATACATTCCACATATATATATATATTTATATATGTATATATATATATGTACGTAAATGTATATACATACAAGTACCTAATCTCTCGGTTTTATTATACTGCGTTACTTACGTCGGATGAAGTTTTGTGTATATTGTAAAACTCCATATAATTGACAGTTAGTTGAAGTGTTCCAAGTCAGTCACTCAAGGTACAAGTTTTATATTCTACGATAAAGTATATATGTAATATGTATATATATATTTTTTAATATAACATATATATATATAATATCTATCATCATTATTATAATTATTCTCATCATAACAATTCTAATATTATTATTATTATTATTATTATTATATATATATATATATGTGATAAGAGACAAAAATTAGGCACACGCATTCCTAAAAGTATATACATACATCGGGCGCTATTTATTTATTTATTCATTTATTTATTTATTTATTTATTTATTTATTATAAATAAATACGTAGCTGGGTGTGTGCAAGAAATGGTTATTTTTGTTGGTTTTGTTTTTTTTTTTCCATATCATCTTCGTCTATAATGTTATATACGTATATATTATTTTGCAAAATAATTTTATCCGAAACTTTAACTTGCAAGCACATTTTTTTTTCCAAAGTAAGAACCCCACGGAATTATTTTTTATTATTTAATTATTTTCTTTCTTTCTTTTTGTTATTGTAAATTCATATTTCAACGAATAACTACTAGCTTTATTCATTTATTTATTTTTAAAGAAGAAGAAAAAGAAAAAAATAAGAAACTTTTGCATAAATTCTTTCATTTACAGAACGTATAATTATAAAATAATACTATTCTCTCTCTCCTAAACACATTTATTTTCTTTTAAGATTGATTTTAATCAAATCGACGCGACATTTCGATTACGTTAAACTAATGAAAAAAAGGGACAGAAAAGAAATAAAATAAATATAAAATTCAACGAGAGATTTTAGATAAATATACGAGGATAATCAAATTTGTTATTCGATGTATAATTTGTAAATATATAAAAAGAATATTAATAATGAAAGTTTTTATACAGTAACGGTAGGTAGACTTTTTGAATAATGAAACATACAATCCCGGTCTCAGCGTGTACGCATTTGAACATTTCGTTTTAATCAAATTTAATACATAATAGTATGTAATATGCATTTATTGTGTATGTTATATGTGTATGTATGTATGTATGTATTTATTTATTTGTATGTGATTGCAAGCAAACAAGCAAGCAAGCACGTAAGCAAGCAAAAGAGGAAAACGAACGAGAGATTATTACTTTTTTAATAATATTTCTAGTCGACCGATATCTAAAAGCCCTTAAAAATTTATATTAATTGCAATTGGCCATTTTAAAAATTCAACTTTTAATTCTTTTATAAATTTTATTTATTAATTTATTAATTAATTCATTCATTGATTTATTTATTTATTCATTCAAACGTATATTTATATATGTGCTCGTAATATCAATTTTAATATTCTTCTATTATTTTTTTTAATATTTCCATTAATTTTATTTTATTTTTTTTTTTCATTATCAATATATTACATGGTAAAAAAGATTTGAGAAATAATATTAAAAACATTGTATATTCGCTTTATATCGATTATCTTCGATCATTTTAACGCCAAAACAAAAAAAAGAATATCTTATACTTCTCTTATATTTAAGTATACTTTTTAAATAAATTTTGCTAAAGCATGAAAAGAAACAAGGAGAAGAAAAAAAAGAAAAAAAAAGTAAAATGGACATCAGTGACATTTTGACCAGCTACGAATTTGCTTTATCTTTTTGTTCATTTTTCATTTCTTTTTTTTCAGTTTTTTATTTTATTTTTCAGTTTTTTTTTTTTTTTTCGTTTACCCCCGTAGCGAAGCTTATTATATATCATATATTATAATAATAATAATAATAACAATTTGAATTTTAAAGAGTGACGTTACGAAGCGAAGCAAAAAGTTCACGGGTTTATACAAAAAAAATAAAAAGAAAACGTTAACATTGATTTATCACTCTGCGAAAGATTACATACATATACATATACATATACATATATATATGTATATATATATGTATTATTAATTATATTTATTAATTATATACGCCAACGGAAAAAACTTCAGATTAATTCCACTTTATATTACGACTACACACGCACACATTTTTTTGTAAATTCTTTCATATTTATTTATTTATTTATTAATTTTCTATTTTAACATCTTCGTTATATATTTCGGTTCTTTTTTCTTTTTTTTTTTCTTTCTTTTTTCGTTCGTTAATTCTCAATAACACGCACCCTGACGCATCCCTAGTTGTTGTTTTTTTATTATTATTATTATTATAATTATTTTTTTTTTGTTTGTTTTGTTTTAAATATATATATTTACACATTACAATAAAAATATAAAAAGGTAGCCTCGAGCCAATAAAAAAAGTGTAGTTTAAAACGTACTAGAAAAGGAAGTAGCAGTGCCGTGTGTTTATTTATATATAAATACGATATATACATAAATACAAATTGTATTACTAATATATTATGCAGGTTGTTTTACGTAGACGTAAGGGGTATCATAAGGGGGTTGGTTTCGGTATGTTA